GGTTATTCGACGGTTACCCTGGTAATAATGTCACACGGGATTCCACGGTAGTAGAAACGTGGATTTTGGTAATATCATTGATGAGCACAGTAGCATAACTATGCTCATAATGGTATGTCTGTGCCCACAGTAATATTACGGTGAACACGGTCATATCACCGTGCTCATCGTTACAAGAATCAAAATCCACGGTTCTACTACCGTGGAATCCCGTGTGGCATTACTACCGTTGTAACGGTAGAATAACTGTGTTCTTTTGCCTAATTCCCTTTGATATATATCAAAGGAAATTAGGCAACGTCTAAAGGCTCAAACGGAATTTTTTTTTTAGCATAGCAAAGTACCTGAAAAGCAAGTTTTAGTTAGAAACTGGCAACAATCTTCAAGAAATTTTCTTAAACCGCGGTTGACACAATTCGATGGCTTGAATGCATAAATTAGAGCAGACTCTTGTGGAGAGAAAGTGGTTGCCGTCACTTAGTCACTGAGAGTGGCGTGGCGTGAATTGCGATATATCGATTGTTATGCCATTTAAACCTATGAAAAAAGATCGATTATCAGGGTGTTCGCAGCGAACACCTTAATAATCGATTCTTCACCATAGGTTTAAATGGCAGATCAATCGATGTATCGCAAATCACGCCACGCCACTGTCACTTAGTCACTAAGAGTGCAAGCCTTAATGATTCCCAAAACTTGTGCTCTCCTCTTGAAACTTTCGCATCGCCTCTGTGAGTGGTGCTCCGAAATTCGGTTTCGGAATCTTCTATTTCTTTGAATTCTTGTTAAATTTATGTAAAGGAAAGAACCGACTGATTGAAATTGATCATACGAGAGCCTATCAAAGCTCATAAAATACAGCATACCGGTGGACTACCTGGTCCTTAATCCTATACTGAAACGTCTATAAGTAAACGAATTTATAACTCTACCCTTATGATAAAAGGGGCCGATATAATTGAATCAGTGTGTTCGAAAACACACCAACTCGGGTTTTTTTTTCGATTTTCACTTTTTTTACGGTTGAGTAACACTTATGGATAGAAGCATCTGCACGCAAAAGGAAATTTCGAAATTGCAATCGGAAGTGCTCGAAACAGCGACGGAAAAAGGGAAAAATCGAAGGTTTTCATTGGAAATATCAATTTTTGGCCATTTCACGGGAAACGGGTGACCATCCGATTTTGCGGTTTTCTTTTTTCGGTTGAGTATACCTTGTACCAACAAGTTATATAAATATTCAAGCGTTATTCAGGTCGAAAAATGTAAATTTTTCAGGGCAGACTATGAAAAATCAGTATTTGAAAGTCGGTGAGGACGAAAACACACCAACTCGGAAATGTTTAAACGCTTAATTCTCTGTCATAAAACATGGTGTATCGATTTCAACTTGGTGCTTTACAAAATCTCCAAGGACTTGTCCCTGGGCACCAAAAAAGTTTTTCTTAAACTAACTTCTTCGCCCGCTGAGCAGTTTTAGGTGTTTCCTGAACAATTTTTTTTTTTCCGAGTTGGTGTTTTTTCGAACTAACTGATTCAATTGTGATTAAAGACATCATTGAGAGGAATGCAGTCGTGTGTTACTACAGTAATCTATCTCTATAACGAGAGCTCAAGGGTCTGATCGATTTCCTCTCTACAGAGAGAGATTTTTGTTATCACGACAGTCAATCAGAAAACGACCTATGAACCAGTGGCGTGGCGTGCTTTGCGATATATCGATTGTTATGCCATTTAAACCTACAGAAAAGGATCGAAAAACAGGGTGTTCGCAGCGAACACCTTAATCATCGATTCTTTAACATGGGTTTAAATGGCATAACAATCGATACATCGTACTTCACGCCACGCCACTGGGACGGACTCCGACATCAATGACTCAAAAGACTAAGGTACCATTCGGGGGTGCAAAATCTGTACGATCCCTCCATCCTAGGATTGCAGGCTCGCGGTCTGATATGGTCGGAAGTGGTGCACACAAAAAACCACGTATCTCCATTGCGGTGTTTCCAAATGTCCGCTCTTAACTCATCTCTTTCATGAGCAACACTCCAAATTTACGACTTTAAATTTTGAACCAAATCTTCTGCTATCGAATACGAAAAATCATGGAGAATTTAAGTTTTATGTTGACCGGCCTCTTGAAAGAAAATAAAATTTCTAAGGAAGTCTGCAACGTCGCAAATGGAGAAACGCCGTCCCTCATTTTGCCCGAAAATATGCATGTATAAAATTGAAGGCATTATGACTGGTCTCTCTCAACTTATATTCGTCTGTAACGATAAACATTGGGACGCGCTTGCTACGGCGCCTTGATACAACTATACAACCTCGACGGATTTCTGTGTTGCATTCAAAAAATTGAAGGCGTTTTGACTCCCTGCTCATACTACCTGTAGTTGATTCGATCGACAAACGCGTTGGTCGGCGTAGACGGGGACTTGATGCAACTTTTTAAACTTGATGGCTGTCCGTATCGCACCGACTGAAGTGCGAATACTCGGGAGGTTCGGCGTGGCAGTCCGGCACAGAATTTTCAACGACTGTTGCAGCGAACGCGCAATGCGTGATGTTTTCCTGCAGTCTTGTAGACGCTTCGCAGCTCGCGCCGATCGCACTGTGTTTGGCGCAATGCGTGAAGTATTCCATCAGTCTTGCAGGCGCCAATACGCTTGTCGCGCTGTGTTAGGAACGATTAGTTCACTTCGCGGAGTCAGCGTTTTTCAACTTGTACCTTTACATTTTTTGCACGCTTTGTATAGATTACTGTACTAAGAAAAATAATACATTATTTCTAAAAAAATATCATTAAAGGATTATTCCAAAATAAATGCTATTAGGAATCTTTACTCAAACCATTAAAACCGAACTCACCCATTACAATAATTGAAAGGAATTGCGATTTGTTCTTTAAATTATGGTAATTTTATCGAGAGTAGTCTTTGGAATATGATGGGGGAAAATTCTAATAAGTTGAGATTCACTCCCAAAAATTGATGTATAAAAACACTGCTTTTTCCGAGCCGATTTTCGGCGGTGTTGCGAATGGAAAATTCGCGATAAATTGAGGTAAAATCGAGGAAAATCAATTAAATGTTGATGATTTTAACTACACTGAAAAAAAAGGATTGCTAATTCACCGATTTAGGGTGGAGCAAAATTTGCTTCACTTCGTAAAGCTTTCTTATCCGTGCACGGTGTTGAATCAAGTGAACGACTAGCACGAATTGCTACACCGATTTGCTACATCTGCGCGCCTTCATGCAGTTAATCCTGCATCGAGTGGCTTGGAAGTGTAACTGCATTTTTTGGTATTGGTACTTTGCGAACAGTAAAAATAGCTCAATAGTTAGGCTGAAATAGCGGAATTTTCGGAAGAATAGCGAAATTTACGGAAGAATATAACTAAAAAGGTAACAGTTGTAGCTTTTCAGAGAGCAAAATCACCTACACGCGTGCGTGTGTAAGTTAGCTGAAATTTGTGTAGCGATTTTACCTGCATTTTTTGCACGTTCGTTTTAGCTACACCATGCCATGAAATACCCGCGTGCACGGCAATTTTAGCAATATTTTTTTTTCAGTGTACTTTCTCACGATAAATTCCAAACAACGACGCGCAATAATTGCAATAAATCGCGTCTTTTCCAAAAAAGAAATGCTACTTGGGATGCGTGCGACACGTACCGTTTACAACCCGCTAACTTCAATTTTAAGAAGCCCGGAGCAGTTTTTTTTTAGTCTGGCGGGTGGAGATCTAGACCCTGGTGACCATCTCATCAATTAATCCAACCTCATTTTAAGCGCTCAGCCGATAGGCAGCGCTTTTGGATTTCGACTTGCCTCTGAGTACTAGTATACTAGTGCTAATGCGTTTAAATGGCGCACCAGCTCATCGATGTGTAGGCTTTTTTTGGGGGGGGGGGTCCAGTTTTAAAATAAATAAAGCTGTGAAAACCGTATTTTATGCTTTTAACGTAATGCGCAGGTAGTTTCGATCGTTTGTCTATAAGAAATTTCCTTAGCAGTAGAGTAATTCTTATCGAAATTGATCGTTGAACTCAAATGAAGCCTAAAAAAAACGCGCCTGATAAGCTCAACGGTGACTAGGTATCATTTTCGGGAAACGAAAAAACGCGTTTACGGTTTCCTTCGTAACCTTTGTTTGCTATCAGCTTATGTTTTATTTCCATTACCCAGCCAAGTCGACGGAGTTTATACTTCCTTTCTCCACTAAATACATTGACTAACACCTGAGCGCTTTTCTAATACGACAGTATTAGAACTTTCCCGCTTGTTTAATTTAACATACCTAGACGCGCCGCTCTGCTAACCAATCTAAAAGATTGCGCACTTGGAATTTTCAAACTCACTCATTTCCCTCGTCGATCGATACAATTCTTTCAAGTTTCCTCGGACAGCATTTGATACGTAAAGTGCCCCTCCGCCTTATTATTGCGTTACGGGGCTTTAGATATTGCCTACGCATGAAAGTTAGAATACGCAAGCATCCGTAACTCAGATCGTTACCACACTTAACCGTATTTATGCTAAAAGGAGCTATGTCGCATGTGGACCCTTTGCACATACTTCCTTTTGGTAGAAGGACGTCCACTTGACCTTTCAAAGGTCCTCATCTCATGTTATTACATCTTCGGACGCAAGAGGATCGAATTCAGTAAAAAGGAACCATCCATCACTCGATATTGCCAAATTTCGTTTCCTCTAGTGTTTTGTACGTCAAGCAAGATTCGCCCAAGTCGCAGTGATCGCGATAAATATAGCGATTTTATAGGCGATTTCATGTAGGAGTAAGTGCCCTTTTGCGATATATTCATGACATTCTCCGCAATATTGAAATAAAGAAAGATAGAAAACTAGAATCGACATATTTAAGACTTATTTTATTTAGAACAAGAGTCAGGAGGGAAAAAAAATATTTACAAGCATATAAACCGTGATAAAACGAAATATGAAACGATTAAAATTTTAGATACATCTACTTACGCTCATGTAAGCATTAAAAGGATATATTTGAGTATTTCTTACTCGTGGTCACAATTGAAGGCAGAATTGACTAGATTATAATATGATCAGGAAAATATAAAAATATAAGACATTTACAAAAATTCACTTTGGGTTGCCCGTTGAACACAAATAATTGACGTCTGGTTTTTGCTAATCAAAAACAATCCGAGTTTGATTAAAGGACTATTTTAGTCCTTTAATCTCCGATTTATGACAGCGTTATTCGAGTTATACGATTCGAACCAGCGTTGACAAGGCTTAGACCTACGGGAGCTTTAGAGAAGAACATGTTTATTGTACTCATTGTCTTCATTGTAAATCCATCCGCAGAAATGATCTGAGTTCCGTCATTTCACAAGGCAGCAACTATTTTAACTCTCCGGGGTGCAAATTGCTTATCCGGCAAATTTGAAGGCGCATTTAATTGTTCATGGCAAGGACTGCGACGACTGATTTAGTATTTGAATGTAAAACAAAGAGGATTTTTTTTTAATTTCTGTTATTTGAATGAAAAATTCTGTCATGCCATCGGGTAGCGGACGATGTCACATTTGAAAAATATTATTAAAATCTGAGTAACTTATCGAGATGACGACAACAGGTTAACAGGTAGCCTCTTTTCCCGAGCCCTCGTGCTTTGGTGATCGCTATTCACCGGTGGCGATTCTTGAAAGGTTGGCAACACCAGATTTCGTCCTCTTGAAAGTATGTTAAAGCAATCGATATTTTTGCAGCAGTCTGCCCTGACTATGATTGACTGCTCACTGTTTCTAATGCGTTTGAATGGAGAAGAAGAGGCAAACAGTCAAATCAGGAGCGGGGACCATCAGCATGAAAGTAAAAATGACTGATCGCACATTTAACTTCATCCGGTGCAGATGGCAACTATTTTAACTCTCCGGGCTGCTAATTGCCTACCCGGCGAATTTGAAGGCGCTTTGAAATGCTCATGGCTGAGACTATAACAGGTGATTTGGATTGCATTTTGCAAAAAGGAACCAAGAGAATTCCAATGTTGCTAGGATTGTGCAACTTACATTCTTCGCGATAAAATTACTGAAATCATGCAAAATATTAAATTTACAAAGGCAATGTTCGTCTTGAATTCACAATTTATTGGGAGTAATGATAAGACTTGTTCAGACGATCAATTAATATTTGCAAGGTAAAAAAAGTTGCACAATCTAAGCAACACTGGAGTGCTCTTGGTTCCTTTTTGCAAAATGCAATCCATTTAATATTTAATACATCTGATAACCTTATCACGTAGAGACACGACTGGGAGGCATGAAAAGTGAGAATAATGTGAACAGTGTGTTTCAGCCAAGGGACAGATTTATAGATTTCGCTTTGATACTATGAGTTTGCGGGAACAAATGAGAGAGAATCATCTGAAAAAGCAAAAGAAACGTAAAATTATAAACCGACCAAATATAGCGAGACAAAAACACTCACAACTGAAAACAAATTGTTTTGATCTGACTGAAACGCTTGATCTAATTTCAGAAGTCCCACCTCGCGCTATCTTCGCCAAAGATTAAGGATGGCGGTGTGCACTGAAAAAAAATTATCGGCGTTTTTACCACGGCCCGTTAGTACCTTTACCATCTCACTTTTTTTTACCAATTATCGATAATTTTACCAAGACAGACTGGTAAGCTTACCTAAAAACCGGTATTTTAGCTGTTTTTTTCAGGTGAGAGTACCGATTTTATTGGTAATAAATTCCCGGTAACTTTGCCATTTTATCTGCATTTTCACCTTCGAAATGCAATCCAATTCGTGTAAGGAAAGTTTCAGTGGCGTGGCGTGAATTGAAATTTATCTATTGTTATGCCATGTAAACCTATGGTAAAGAATCGATGATTAAGGTGTTTGCTGCGAACACCCTGTTCATCGATCCTTTTCCATAGGTTTAAATGGCATAATAATCTATATATTGCAAAGCACGCCACGCCACTGGACAAGGCGCAATAGTTGCAGTTCTTGATACCTCGAGAAATACGTGTTTGCAGAAGTTTCGGAATTACATGGATCCTTGCTATATGGCGAAAATAAAGGTTGAACTGACTTTTTGATGCTTGAAAATTGGAATTCGGAAGCGAATTTTTCACAGAATATGCATTAAGAATACTTTCACTTGAAATCATTAAAATCTCAATTTTTCAAAAACTACACTTATGCGGCTTGTCCTACACGCCCCTCATGTCGCCACCTTCTGGCCAAGGTATCACAAGCGTCATAGGACGTTTAAAAATTTCCGCCGTCAATTTATATTTTCACAGAGAAAGTGTACAATGAAGCTGTCCGAAGATTTCACTGACTTTTCTTTGTGCTGCCGATACAATTCAGTGAAATTTTCCAACAGATGTTCCAACCAACAATTTCTCCGTAAAAAAATAAAATGGTGGCGGAAATTTTTAAACGTCGCATGTCTTGTGATATTTTGGCCGAAAGGTGACGATTCCACGATCATTTTCTTCAGAATCTTTGAAAAGTAGACAGGACGTTACATTAGAGATCTTCGTTAAGGTGCACTGAAAAAAAATTCTCGGCGTTTTTACCAAGGTCCGTTGGTACCTTTACCATCTCACTTTTTTTACCAATTATAGGTAATTTTACCAAGACAGACTGGTGAGCTTACCTAAAAACCGGTATTTTTACTGTTTTTTTCAGGTAAGAATACCGCTTTTATTGGTAATCGATTCCCGGTAACTTTGCCATTTTATCTCGGTAATTCTGCCACGGTCGATAAAAAATATTGGCCTTTTTACCAAGGTCCAGTAAAATTACCGAGAAAGTTCAATAATTTTACCGGGATTTCTCGGTAAAGTTACCAATTCCATAAATGGTAATTTTTCCAAGAAAAAACTGGGATCAAATAGGACCCTGAATTCTTGGTAATTTTACCCTTTCCTTAGTAAATACACCGAGATTTTTTTTTTCAGTGTGAGGAATACCATACGCTCACTGCGCTAAAATTACTTTTCTCGCACTTCTCTTGGAAGAAAATAAAAATTCATAATTGCTGAGGAACGAGACTGATTGACAGCGAGCTGGAAGAAATAACCCAGTCGTGGGTGTTACGAGGGGGGGGGGGGGAGTCAACTACGGCACCTACAAACTTATCCAAAAGGTCAGCGTTTCGATTGTCGATTTGCTATATCGATATATTCCTATCTTAACAACGCAATTTATCGATCAACGTCTATCGCTGGTGATCGGACATGACCCACTGCTCCAATTATGCAGCCGGTTGGTGCGTACCTGCTGGTGTTATTTTTAAAAGATTTGTCATGCTTATCCGTTGCGAAACTTACCATTTTCGTCCTATTTAAATTTTCATTCGGTGACTTTAAAATAAAAGCACAAGAACAGCATACCGTCAACATGCAGTGTTGATTTATACTCACTGTTGGATCAGAAAAAAACATATTTCTGACGGCTTCTTTGTTAGTGCAAAAATGAACAAATCAAGGCGGACGCTCCTTTTATATTTGGTCACAAAATAAAATCAGGCACATCATCATTTTTGCATGCAGCCACTACTACTAGAATTTTTGACACCTTGAATTTTCAAGGTCCGACACGGTTTAATGTTTCGATTGCTTCGAAAGTTACTTAACTTTGAAAAAAATGAAATCTCATTTTTCACGGAGAAATGGTGTTAGTCAAGGTCAAACGTATCTGGGCCGGCGGTTCCATGATAACTGGAATAGTTTTGTCACCGTAACAGACAATACATTTTTCGGTCATATTTTTAGTATTGATGATAATAATCACTCGGATTTTTTTGCATTAATCTTCCAACCTTGGTAAAAATTGGCAGTAGAATCTGTGTTCCAAAATACCATAGAGCGCCGTAATATGCTGCGGCGCGGCGCGATGGGCAGGCAGCCAGCGAGAAACGCGCATTGGCGCCTACAAACCTAACAGGGATACTTCACGCATTGCGCAATGCGTGAAGTATCCCTGTTGGGTTTGTAGGCGCCAGTAAGCCGCCGCTCCGCTTGGTGTTGGGATCTAATATTTTAACTCGTGGAGTCAGCGTTTTTCAACTCATGACTTTGAAATGTTTGCACACTCTGTATGGATTATTCTCATTTTAATTGATGAAACAAAATAATGTGCGTTTTGTAAATATTAAGGTGATTCCGTACAAACTTAAGGATTTACAAAGCACACGAATTTCTACACAATTTCTTATAGTCTTTTATAGCCGATGGCGAAAAAGCAACAGCCAGGCATTAAAGTGTAAAGCCCGGCGATAAGAACTATGGCCCGGCTGTATAATTTTTTATCACTTCGTGTAGCCCGGCCGTATGATTTTTTCCACTTTCTACAGCCAACTGTATGATTTTCTATCGCCTTCTTCATTCAGCTATAAGAACTCCTATGGTATTTTGAAACGCAGCTCTTATCGCCAATTTTTACCAGGGAAGGGTTACGTGTTATAACGCTTTCTAATGATTGATTGCTCTACTTCTCAATTAATATTATGTGAATACCGAAAATGTGCTGTCTGTTACGCGGTAAAAAGTCAGCGTAACAGACAGCATTCGGTCATCTATACATTAAAACTGAAAAGTAGAGCGATAAATCTTTGGAAAAGGTTATAACACGTAACCCTGTGTGTGTTAATGCAAAAAAATTCGAGTGATTATCATTACTACTAAAAATATGATCGAAAAATGTGTTGTCTGTTATGGCGACAAAACTATTCCAGGTATCGTGAAACCACCCATCCTTAATTTTATAATTAATTTTTTTTTTTTTTTTTTTTTATTTTTTTCCATTAAAAAACAAGCGCGTAAGTGCTATGTTTGTTTCGAAAAAGGCCTAACTCCAAGTTTAGAACGGTCTTACTTCCCTATTAAGGGACGGTATAAGTTTAATATATAGTTTTATCTGCGGTAATTTTTTTGGGATCTCTTATGGAACATACTTCAAATATGCTTTTCGTTCACCAAAAATTTCCGACTGAAATACATGTAATTTGAACGACACGCCATCATATTGATGCTTAAAGTGCCAAACCGCGTAGCTCCGTTTGCGACGGTACATGCAGACTTCCTGTCATACTTCTTTTTTAATCCGGAAGACTAATAAACGTACCTAACTTCTCAAAAACAGCCTTGATTTTTCGTCTCAGCTACATGTTCACAGACTATTCAGGATAAACGAGCGATGATAAAGTTAACTTGTTTCTCTTCGAGAAGAGAAAATAGAAACGGAAATTATGGAACATCGCATTAAGTTACTTGGTTTCCCACTTTGGACGTCGATATAGTGGGTACGGATTGCTATAAGTGCACCGAGAATAGCGATTTAGGAGATACAACTATTTTAACTCTTCGGAGGAGAAATTGCCTACATGGGATAATTGAAGGCGTTTTCAAACGCGGACAACAAGCGGCTTACCAGTGCCGAAATCTATGAGGAAAACACGATTTGTTTATTGACTTCTAAAATGCTGGTCTTTGATTGTAATTTTGAAACTTCCTCGAGAAGCGGTGGAAAATTCATTCCATTGGCGAGACTTCGAGCAAAAGATCGTTGATTTAAGATGCAAAATGCGGCGTCCCATCCTTGATTGGCGCAGAAATGAAATTGAATGCTCGCAATTTACCTGTATTCTTTGGTATGACAGTAAATGAAATCCACCCGAAAACTCAAGAAAATTTCTCTCCACAGAGGAAAGTCCTTTTCCCGTGGACCGTCACGTAATATGGTTTAGAAATCAACGGCTTGCGTACGAAACCACATTTCTCCGTTTGCGACGTTGCAGACTTCCTGTCATACTTTTTTTTCCTTTGGAAAACTTGTCAACGTAATTTACCTATTCTTAAAAACTACCTTAATTTTTCCTTCTTTGATAGCGGAATATTCTGCATAAATTTCAAGCTACCTGTCGACGGTGAAAGATGTAACTACCACAGCACGTATCTCGTTCGCGAAGTTTTAAAATCTTCGCTCTTATGCAGGGCCGGATTAAGGGGGTGGCCACATGGGCCGCGGCCCATATAGCGGCAAAATTAGGGGGCGGCAAATTTTGCATTCTTTTTTAAATGCAGGTACAAAAAAAATCAGATTCAGAAAAAAATTACAAACAAGAGAAAGTGACAAAATCTCTCATTCCCTGAGAGTACATTAATTTATAATAATTTTGTCGTATTTCGGTGATACAAAAGACTGCGCACCTTTAATTAGTTGAGTTAAGAGAGAAACACCAAACACGTAATTTGGCCTGGAGCGGCGCGGCGCAAAGAGAAATGATGACGAGGACTTGAGATGAAAAGGAGAAGCCCTCGACGCGGCGGTCGGCATGTAACACATATTAGCGCCTACGAGACTGCATGAATACTTCACGCATTGCGTCAAACACAGTACA